GAGTGTGTAATTAGTCTAACAGCATGCAATACCTAATTAAATCTAACCCATAGGGTGTTATTCCTTTACAGGCAGGGGCACATCAGTAAATCAAAGTACATTCCTGGGAGAAACAATAATATATATATACTGAATCTTTCCAGTAATATAAGAATAAATACTCATATTGCCTATAGTAAATTTAATAATATATTTCTTTAGGCTCTCTCCTTGTTGATAGCTATGTAGCACTGCAACCATCAGCCAAACAACTCCAAACAAATTTATTTTTATATTGGTTTTCCCTTCACTTCCTTTTCTGTCTCCAACAGGAAGTGAGGATAATCTCTTGAACATGAACTGAACTAGCAATAATAGCACCTTTTTTTTAATAGAATGGGGAACAGTTAGAACCCTTGTCTTTTGTTTTATGTTGCTATCTATGTCCCTGTTTACAGTAGGAGAGCTCATCATTTGTTATGGTGTCACTTGATCAACAATGGTGGAAAATCTCCCCAAAAGGGACACAATTGAAAATTCTCACTCAATGCAAAAGGTTGTAGATCATAATAATTATTCTATAATGTATTGCCTTAACATATTTTCTGACCATATAATATACTGTATGTGAGTCATGGATACCCAGCTTTACCTCCTATTTAATTTGTAGCTGTTTCAGTTGACTGAAAATGTATTTTGATTACATTATCATTCTGAATAAATTCTGTGTAGATTGTCAGATTTATGTTAGTTAAAACCAATCTGAATATAATGACCAAAGAAATTTGGTGCTATTTTGGGTTGCTTAATGAATTTACTGTATATCTCCATACATGATGATTATGACCTGCCCCTTTTGTAGTGTGTATACATTATATATTATTTAAGTTATCTGGGCAAAAATGCTACCGGATTGTTAAATGAAAAACTATTAGGCTAGCCCTGAATAACTTTGTGTTGCAGGTACAAATTGACCTCGGCTAGAGATTCTTGCTTATAACAATGACCACTTGATCATATCAAACTGATGTATGGTTGTCTTGAGTTGAAAAATGATGCCCTGCACACCAGACTTTTTAAAAGAAAAATCTTTATTGCATTAATTGCATCAATATCATTTTCATGTCTCACCTCCTTCAACAACCAAGAAATAATAAAAAAAATGTTTAAAACAAACAAATATTAAAATAAAAACAAAAAAACCATTAGTCATAATCCTAGATCCTCCTTAGGGATCTGACCATACATTTCATGACTGCTAGAATAATTTGAGGCTTCACCTAAAATCATGGTCATACCTAAAAAAGGACAGAAGCAAACATGTATTAGAGATGAATAATTGTACAATATACAAGGAAAATCATAAATATGCAAGACAGAGAGAGAGCACCAGTGCAGCCCTCTATTGCCAGTTAGCATCCTGTGTATCATATGCATTGCAGTTAGCATCATGTACATCAATAAATAATTTCCACTGGTTATAAATAAAGATTTATAAATAGTTAACAGTATAATCAAGGAGACCTAATGGTCAGAGAGCAGACCTAATGATCAGGGTCAGAAAAAGCAATCAAGTGAAAAGGAAAGCTAACACTTTAGGATGCACATTTTGTGGCATATAGATCCAGATTGCTTCTCATTGAAAATAATGTCTTTGAAACAATTCCTGGATATTATTTGGGTTAACCTCAAACAGCAAGGGTTTTTTCCTCCTTATATTTGGTGGCTAGTGTCTATACAAATTTATTATTGTATGCCATTGCCTGGCTCAAAGAGAGTATGCTTGTCACAGGGCACTGTGCACATGTTGCATGTAACTGTGGGTGAAACTTCTACCCTAGCAGTAGCAGTAGTAGTAGTGCTACCAATTTATCTCCCTCTAACTTCAGTACTTTTTGAGTCATGCACCTAGAAATAAGCATGTTGGGTATACAAAGTCGGCCATACATAGATAGAAGTTTGGCCGATTTTCAATCCATGTAGACTTCTGTACAACCAGCCTGTTGGGTTTTCCCTACAGGGAATCAGCACCACCGGTTATAGTCAGGAGCACTGATCAATTTATTCTGATGTCTAGGAATTTCCCTGCTGTCAGAATATAAAATTTCAGTGGCAAGGATTCCCCCATTCACCTTGAATGTGTGGATAAGGGAAATAAAGACTCATCTATGGGCTGTTTTACTCTTGGCTTGTTTTGAATCAGACTCAGAAAACATTGAACACAGGTAAGTAGGTTATATTTTTACCTTTGTCTAATGAAGAGAGACATAACCTATATAGCGGTAATATTAACCCACAAAGTAAAAAATGAACTAAACCAGGAATAAAGGCGGTCTAACATTACAAATCTGTAGCTAATTCTGTATTTAAGATGCTGTGTACAATTACAAAAATCTGTATCTAAAATTACAATTGTGCATGTAATTATCTTTTTGCTTGAAGGTCTATCTAAAGTAAATATGTTGTAATACAATTTTTATCAACAAATAGTACCCTTCATTCAGTCCATTCTTTCAATGACTTTGACAAGCTGGTGTAAAGTTTCAGACTTATGATTTCAGCAACTACTTCATTTTCTAGGATATGCATTAAAAAGAGACTGTGTTCACAGCCTATGAAATAAGTATTTGAAAAATTAATATAATGTCAATTTGATATCAAACCCTCCTGATAAAGAGAGCATTGCATATTTCTAGCAGATAAGTAGATTTGATGATGGATTAGATGATACTTAAAAGTCAGTGTGTGACATCTGAAGCAAGACACAATGATGCAGAGGTGATTAATACATTGAAGAAATCACTTTTACTTGATACATTTTTGTGCTGCCTTTTCTGAATAGTATATGGAGAAAAAAATCTGTAGTTTTAGCAACTTCTTCTTAAATATCTCTTGACACTACTCTGGGCTAGGACACTACAGATAGCTATTTAAAATGGTATAGTTACATTATAACAACATTTGGGGCACTGTTAATGGAAAATATGGTATTTACATTATCAAATTGTCAGTAATTTGTTAGGACTCCTACATTTCTTGCACTCCAAGGTAAGACACAACACATTGACTAATTAAAGGGTAATTCTACTTTTGTGAAAAAATAATATGGCATAAACAATTGGTCAGTAATCCATATTTTAATTTAATGTGATTAAATGTTTTCTTTCCTTATCAATTTGCAACTGCTGTAATCTTCGGTAAAAGTCAATGCAAAATAGCATTCTGTACAAAGATAGTGTTGATAAACTTCCCCGGAATCGTAATTCCTTCTTGTGTGATTGGCTCACTGATTTTCCCAAAAGTATGCGCTAAGATACAAGACAGATTTTAGGCATCCTCTGAAATAGGAATTGTATTATGGTGAGACACTAAAGGAATGAAGACATCTGAATGGGATGAGGACACTGCAAGTGCATCAACTGATTATTGAACACAGACACTCCTACTCAGGAATTAGTGTTTCAAGGACATAGAGGAATGTACTGCTTTTTCTTAAGAACAAAAATAGATAGAACTCTGCTACATATTTTATTAAAATCCCTGCAATGTACATACAGTCAGAGGGGAGCTTTTTTTTTTTTTTAACAAAAGCAGAGTTACTCTTTAACCACCTAAAACCAGGCCAATTCTAACATTTTTCCCACACATGTAAAAAACAAAATGTTTTTTTTTTTTGCTAGAAAACTATTTAGAACCAGCAATGTATATTTTCTGAAAACAAATAGTGGATGTTGCAATTTTTTTATGTCACATGATATTTGCGCAGTTCAGTATCAAACACAAATTTTCTGAAAGAAATACACTCTAATGCATTTTATTGCACACATACACAATATAATACCCATTTTATTTGCAAAATATGAAATATGATGTTACACCAAGTAAATAGATACCTAACATGTCATGTGTTCAAATTGTGTACACATGTGGAATGGTGACAAAGTACACTCCCTAGAAATTCCCATGGGTGATGCTTTAAAAGCCTTTACCAGTGGCAAGTTTAGAGATCTGCCACTAAAATTATTCCTCTCACTCTAAATTTCACAATGATACCTCACATGTGTGGTGTGATCACCATTTACATACTGTATGTGTGTGGGACCTACATGCATATTCGCATTTGAGCATTGGCAGAGGCAGAGAAAATTATTTTATAATTATTTTCTTTATTGCACTTTACGGCTATTACAAGGGATGAACAACATACATTGTGACAGCATTGGCCATGGCAGGTCCACTTTATGGAGATATTTTGGATCTGTTAGACTCCAAGTCTCTCTGCCCTCCAACCAACTGAGATTGGTTTGATGAGCTGCTTTACAAGCTGGTAGCATTGGCTGCTTTACAAGCTGGGAGCAGCTAGGTAAAAAACAAACCAAAAGTGGAAGTGAAACTTCTGTTCCTTCCACTTTTCACAGTGCATCTGATGCAACTGGTCACATCAGCCCTGAACTCCTCAATGGGGTGGGAGAGCCCAGGAAAGATAGTGGGAGGGGAGAACCTGCCACCTGTAAAAGTTACTGGGTGGCTGTATAGTAACTAGGATCACTTTTTGCCTGTAGAGGATCTCCTGCTGAAAAGAATGATTGCCACCACTTCCCAAGGACATATACAGTATGTATAGTACATCAGCTGGGAAGTGGTTTTAAGTATTATCTACAAGTGAAGATACAAACTACTGTACAATATAGTGCACATTAAAGGAAATGTGTAGTTGTTATTTTAAGAGATTCTGATTATTTATCCTGGCCATGATTAAAAGTGCAAAACATTTTGAATATACTTTTTTTTAGTTTTTTGTTTATCTACAAAATATTGCAAATGGATATTTCAGTAGGTGGTATGTTAGCTATTTGACAAATGAAGATTGAGGCTCGTACTCACATGGTTCCCTTTTTCACTCCACTCCCTGATTTGCTATAAAAAAAGCAATAGTTTTACAGAGCTCAAAATGAATGCCGGATAAAATCTGCTTGTTTGTAAGTCCAGTGTAGCCGCTAACCAAAATAGTAAGTGACCATTTAAAATATTTCTGGCCTTGTACATTTTATCTGTGTAAGCAGTATACCTGTCAAGTAAGCAGGATTCATAATGGAAATCTGAAAAAGATGAGAAAATTCAACATTTAATAAAGCAATAATCCTTCACTGTGAGCATCAAGAGATTTGTTTTACACCTTGTAAGTCATATTGAACACTTTTAAGAACTTTAAAAGTTATTATAAGCATGAAATCTGGAATATGCACTGTTAAAGCTTTTACAGGTCTAAAAACAAATCAGGAAAGCACCGAATGTGCTCAGCAAAGAACAGATTAGACAGAGCATTGAATTTAAGTGCCTGCTGCATGCTGCATTTTATGTTTTAGAAAATACAGCTTAATCGAATAGAGAGCTATTTTTATTATAATCCTTTTTTTTAGGAAAACCTCTTTGTTATTATTAAACAGAGCCGATGGCTATCATTAGTCACATTGTTAGTGGGAAATATGGTAATTCCACAATTTGGGTCCCTGGAACAAAACAGGTTTTGAAGAAGATGTTAGTCCTATAGAAAATAACTTCAAACAAAATATGCAATTCATCAAAAAGTGAATAGCAATTTACGGTGTGTGCTTTTTATTTAAAAATAATGTTCCAAATGTTTTCAGCTTCCACCAGAAAGTTACAGAAAACTGTGAGAAATGTAGAGGCAGCTATTGCTGTCCATCTTCTGAAAATGCTAATTATTTGGCTGTCTTTTACTTCAATACTTTCTAAGCCCCTGACCTGAAACATGCATGAGGATTGGTAAAGTCAGAATGCCTGATTGACATATTTGTTTCAGTTTAGTCATGTCAACTACTTACTTAATACAGGTTTCTTTAAAGGATCAGTTTGCTAAAACTCACATTTCAGTTTTTGGTAGGTACTGGAAAGTTAGGCTAATAGATTCTTATGTCCCATATACATAGGCATTGTTAGACCCAGGCTCCTGGAGTATGTGCCCCAGCTCACCTGCATGGTGACCAAAGTCTAGAAAATCCTCTACTGACAGGATCACTTTGACTGCCCAGTATTCATGGAACTATCTGACAGAGACTACATATAAATCGATGAACACTGGGTAGGCAAAATGAAAAGTTCAACTAGTGCTGTTGGAGCACCTGGCATGATATCACCTAGCAGAGACCCAGAATCCAGCAACATGACACCTCTGCACCTTCTCATAAATAAGTAACCACTGAACAATAATAATTTGCCTTAAACATTCCCATTGACCACCAACAAAGGGTTCTGATGTTGTAAAGGACAGTGATTACTGACCAACAAATGTTGTAGGGGCATAGATTCTAATGTTGCAAGGGTGATTACTACTAACCCCTAATGTTGTAGTGGGCACTAAACACTTACAGTATATTGTAGAAGTCACTGAACATTAAAATTGTAGAAGGAACTAAACAGTAATGTTTTAGGGAGCACTTACTACTGAATATTATTGTTAAAGTGGGAGCTTACTACTGACACCTAATATTTAAGTCATTATTGACCAATGTTATACACACGGTGTCCACCCTTTATGAGGAAGTCAAAGAAGTGACAAAATGCGTCAAGGGACATGACGTTGGATGTTGCCCAAGAAACCGGAAGTAGCGGAGCGGCCATTTTAACTGTGGTAATAGGGTTTGGCATTCCTGGAAGCTGCTGCATGGTGGAGTCATGGGATCTTTTATGCTAGTTATTTGGCATTTTATGTAAGCATACTAAATAAAGCGTGGAGTATCTTTATCTTTAACATACTACACTATATGAATTTGATTTTTCTTTATGAATGGATGTATTGGAGTACTAAGCAGGCAAGAGTATTGAAAGGAGCATTGGGGGATCAGAAGGTACCCACAAGGTTCCAGCAGATCCGTATCCGTACCCTCCTTTGGATTTATTTATAAAGGCTGGCTTATTACTCATTTGGGTAAGGGCATGCAATTCAGCCACATTAGATGTGTACACTGAGTGTTCACTATAGTATTATATATAATAAGAATACACATAGTGGTTCACTATCACATGTTTCACGGGTCACCATGTGTTTTCACGATTTATGCATTTTTGCATGAAATTTATAAAGATTTTTTTTGGCATAACTAATTTTGGGATTTGGATGAATTTATATTGTGAGGATAATACACTATTGAGTTTTCTTTTATTTTGAGGTACACGGCACATACTGGATTTATAAAGCGAGTTTTTGGAAGAAAAGATTTATAGACTTTATTTTTTTTTTTTGGTATAATTGTATGGACACCAAGAAGTATTATTGACCAATGGACTGTGCATGTAATATTGTACATTGCATATTCGTGACTAAAGTATTCCTTGTCCCAAACATGTGCCTTTTATCATTGTAGATGATGAAAGGCTGAAAAGGATGTGGTGATGGTACTGAAATAAATACAGAGAGATGGAGCTTATTGTAAAAAGAAACAGTGTACTTTTTTAAAACGCACGCTTGTTTTTTTAAAGTTACCCTATGTTTCATTTAAAAGAACACTGACACCCAAGCAATGAGGGGCAATTTGCAGGCTCTCTGCAGAAGGGCTCCTCTGACTCAATTATACTAAACTTGCCAGTGTTTAGAGACACACACAAATCTCAGGACAAAATTTTATTTATAAAAACTGTTCTGTTAAATATACATTTTTCTCTGAGTCTGCCTCTGTACCACTGTATTGTAAAAGTCAGGGGGATGGACACATATTTCAGGAGTTCTATTTTTAATTGGCTCTTTAGAAAATACACTCAGGTGGCCAATGCATTGGACAGCTCTGATTAAGGTCACAATGTGCAAAGAAAATCAAAGTGTTTATGTATTTTATGGTCACTGTTAACCAATCACAACCATCACAAGTATAAACATTAGTGGTGGTTACAAAAACCTTCTGCCCAATCACAATGGAGGCAGCTCCCTTCCCTCCATTGTGAATGGGGTGAATGTTTGTGAGCAGAAAAGGAAGGAGGATTGGCAGATCAAAAGTAAAGATGGGGGGGTCTTAAGGTGTTTAAACTGCCACTGATCACCAAAGAGCGTGGGATTTTGTAAGGTGGGGGCAGTTTGAAGTTCTATTAATCACCAGTAACTGTGTAATCATATTTTAAAGGTAACTAAATGAAAGTTAATGTAAGCAAATCTAAATGTGTGGTCCTTTTTACTTTATATAGAAAAAACTGTGATTATTAAATACTATTTAATAATTTATATCTGTCTTAAAAATCAAATATAAAATTAATTTGAGTTCAGTGTTGTATTACCAAGTCATTGTGAGTCAAACTATCACATCACTGAAAAATCACCTTGTAATGAAGGGGTATATACAGGCTAATACTCAAGTGGTTAAAGAATAGGGATGAGCTCACCATTTGGTCCAAACAGAAGTTGGTCCGAACAATTTGGCTGAACATTTACCCCTTATGCTGGAGATGAGAGTCATATATAGTAGCAGTTTTTCTGCTGCTACTATATGTGACAGTTTCCTCTGTTAATGGTTGTTAAAGTGGTTATCCAGTCTCCACTGAAAAAAATAAAAATCAGCAGCTACAAAAACTGTAGTTTCTGACTTTTAAATAACAGCCACTCATCTATTCCATGATCCAGCAGTGTGTTTCACCCCAGCCAGGTTCACTGGCTGTCCTCTGTCCCCAGTGCCAACATCTTAAGTGTGGGCACATGGCTGTGTCAGCTGAGTGCCCACTGCACATGCGTCAGCAGTGCTGCACATTGTGATTGGTCCTGCAGTCTTCTGGGACATGCCATGTATCCCAAAAGACTGCAGGGAGGAGAACTTTTGATCGTCTAGGCAGTCGGGGAAGAAGTGGGAATAAGTACCTGTCAAAATCGGGTACCCACTCCCCAAAGGTGCCAATTCTTCATGGGGAGTGGGGGACCAGTCCTTAAAGTGGAATGTACCCTTTTGGGTGGAGCTCCACTTTAAAGAAGCAGTGGGTGTCAGCACCCACCCTTTCCTTAGCAGCCAGTAACATCACGCTGCTCTATTCATTTGTTGGCCAGGAAACCTTAGTCATGTAATCAGACAAAGGTAGCGCTGACATCATTGACCAAGTATGGTCACATGGCTATATTTGGTCAATAACATTCTCTTTACCCCTTACTCATTTACATAGGAAAGACCAGTAAATAGAGACTCCCTTATTTTTAAAGGGGTTTTCCAGATTCTGATAAGCCCTCAACATCAGGCCCAGGTTGTAGGAAGAGGACCTTGTCTTCATCCATCTGGGGATAGGATACTTTGTCGCCCCTGGCAATGTACCCCCCATATTGGAGGTATTTGACCTGGGCACATGCTCACTGCCCTTTTTCTGTCTTTCCAGCTTGCATGCTTGGTTAAGGGCCTGGTATGGATATAGGGGGAACCATACACTTTTTTTGTCTTTTTTTTTTGCATGAGGTCACTCTTGACATTCATACCAGACCCTCATCAAGGATAAGGGTCTGGTTTGTATTTTTAGGAGAAACCACATGCCTTATTTTCTTCTACCATAATGTCCCTCATTAACATTTATATCAGATGATCATCTAGGATAAGGGTTTGGTGAAGATGAAGGGAATCTCTGGTCTTTTGGTTGCAAAAAAAAAACCCCAAAGCAGCCAGGAGCTGTCATTAAACGGCTTTTTTTTTGTAAAACCCAGTTTTGCAGTAATAGGCTGTATGCATCATACAGATGAACCACAGGCATGCAATTTAAAATAATTTTGCCATTTTTATGTTATCCTTTAAGCATTATTAAATGCAGTGTTGTCTGCCAAACATAATATTGTAACATTTTCTTGGCTATGGTACATGGGTCCACCCCACCATGACATTTGTTTGACAATTCTTTATATTTTAGCCTAGTAAATGGTCATAACTGATTTCTAAGATTCATATTCTACTGATTTCAATGGGGTTCGGATTTGGTATCCAAACTTCAATACACTTCTGCAAACTTGCTTCAAACCAAACCCAGGTACGTTTGGCTCTTCCCTATTAAAGAGGAATGTAGTGAAATAAAAAGCAGTGCAATTCTCTAAAAAAATAAATATTCTAAATGCATTTGAATCATGTGTTACACCATTTAAGGTACCAATAACAAAACATAAAATAAATGAATGTATATGAATGGTGGTGGCACCCTCTTCTGAGCAGGGTGTATCTAAATGCCTCTCAATCCAATATTGAAACAAAGAGTGTTATGCCTCTTAGAACAACTATTTTAAATATGCAGTGCAATCTTCCAATGACAACAGTATATGAACAATGGTGAAACCCCCGAATAATAACACTCTCTGCTATGTACACCACATATTAAAATAAGAAAATATAACATTCAGTCAACATTCCCACATGTGCAATTATTGAAAAAGTTCAGCTTTATTATATGATCTACATCTAGTATAGATCAATAGACGCTTTATGCTGACAATTTCACTCTTGATTTACTCCATGTGTATCAAGGTATATGGATGTAAAAATCTTCCAAAAAATGTTCCCAAAAAGATAAAGACAAAACCTTTGTCATGCATACTGTATCTTTTAAACTAAGGCGAAAGTAATAATTTTTTTACTACTGTGCACTCACATGCTATTGTGCACATCAAAAACATACATATAAATAACCATTCTGTGTCTAAATATTTTACCACGTGCAACCCTTCACCAGCTGCGCCTCCTGCTCACCTTTCCAATATGATCTACATCAAGTATAGAACAGTCAGCACATTTTTGCAGATACATTTCCTCCAGGTAAAGTATGACTCCAGATGTACGAAGAAGTATGCCAGGCTCTCCAAAAAACATGCACTCAAAAATAACAATGTTATTTCCTATTGAAGAGGAACTTAATTTTACCAGTTGAAGACTATTTGGCAGCCAGCAGCTGTTGGGAGAATAAACATTTTGGTCAGGAGTATATAAAAATATAACACATTGTAGAGAATTTAGTGGTTAAGGTTATTGAACACAGTGGTCAGAAAAGAAAAAAAAAAACAAGCTATTGTTCATGAACAGTTGATGGCCAACAACATTGGTCAGTGGAAGGAAAAATGCCACATGCAAATGGTCACTATGAGGAAAATGCCTCAGCATCAGTGGTCAGAAAAATGTCCCAGTGAGAGAAAATTGCTCTGATGTTAGTAGTTTAAAAAACTGCCAGGTGCATTGGTAATTAATAATTGTTGGGAGAAAAGAAATGCCATCACATTGGTATCAGTGTAAGGAAAATTGCCTCGCAACAGACTTCTCATCATCCCCCCTTCCCACTTGAAATCAATCTTCCATAAGACCCATAAACCCCTTCAAATTTCAGATCATCTTCCCCCTTCTTTCTCCTTAACCCCTTCTGACCGAAGATCAGCCCCCCTTTCTCCCTAATCTCTTCAGACCTCAGATCAGCTACCCTTTCTCCCAAACCTTCCTCTGACCTCTAGCCAGTGGTGCTACAGAGCATAATGAGGTTGTCTATCATAGACTTCCCTTATGACAAAGCATCACAGGACCAGAAACTTGAGCTACACTGGTCTGAGGTCTGTTACCAGCAGCAGGTGCTGGAATGGACCTTCCAGAAATTGGAACTAGAAGAACAGACATAAGAGGCAGTATGGTGGGAAGCCAAAACAACTACAGGGGTGCCAGCTACATTTGCCACCTGGTCCAGCTCACCTCTAATTGCTTGTGGGCTGCTATAGTGGTATATCTGCCACTGGGTATAAATAGAGGAAACTTGATAATTTCAGAGAAAATAGTATCTTAGAGATTTTATTGTAGTTAAGTTAAATAAAGTTCACTACAAAATGTAGACCAACATGGTACTATCACTATCATGTGAGCTGTGTACTGTAGAATGTGTGTATTACGGCGTATGGGCTATCTCTATATTGTGTTACTGAGGGATTAAGCCCTCTTCATATTTTTCTTTGCGAGCATAGAAAATGTACATTAAAAATTGTAAAAAAAATTAATATATATATGTATATATATATATATATATATATATAATTCAACATATTTTGGTATCAAATACTTTTAATTTAATAATAATCTGCTTCAATTTATTTATTAGCTGCAGTCATTTGTTCATATTGTGACCTTTATGATAATTATTTAGGTTGGCAAACACAGTGTAATAAATATTCAGTTCATGTTGTCTCTTTAATTAATGTTAATGGAAGTCACTGATATTTAGGGTAGTGATCCAAAACTATTAGATGCTGAATTTAAATAGTTTCTTTGGCCTGATGTGTCATGGCATTAAAGTGCTGCAATTATATGAGGACATGATAGCATTTAACCAACAAATATTCTTGTTGTCATGTTTTCATAGCATTTTAACATGTTACCCTCTCAAACCTGCTCAATCCCTAAGGACCAGAGCAAATTGTTTTTACATTTCTGCTATGGACCTGTTTTTTTTTTTTTCGGTAATAACTTTGTCATTACTTAAGATAAGGTAATACAAAACTAAACAAAACACACTTTTTTCTTTTTTTTTGAGCAGTGTTAGCTTAAAAATAAATAGTGCTACTGCACGTAAATAGTGTACATTTTATATGTAATTTGTCTTGTTTAAAATGACTCTAAAGTTATAATTCTGGTGCAAAGTGATTTACAAAAATAAAGCTTTTTTGTTTTTGTTTTTGTTTGTTAAATGTTTAAAGATATTGACAAAACAAAAACAAAAAAGTTGAAGTATTATTAACAAATATAACAAACAAAAAAACAGCAGGAAAATAAGCGTTAAAGAGAGAAGGAGACTAAGGAGTTAATTAGGGTTGATTAGAGAAAACTAGGGGGCTAGTGAGGGCTTAAAAAGATGAACATTTTATTCATCACTTTTTTCTACTTGTCAGGTTGCTTTAGATCTGCATTTGCAGATCGGAGTTCATCACTTTGATCTGCAGATAAATAATAATAATAACAATTCGCTATTTTTGACTTTGTATAATTGCATCTAGAGCAGGGTTGTTTATAAGCACTGATTCAGACTGCTTTTTTGACAACTACCTTCTCTCCCTCTCTGAGTATACAGTAATGCAGACTTTGATTGATCAAAGGAAACAATTACTGTATACTTGGGGGGGGGGGGGGGTTCAGAAGCAAAGCAGATAGACTGTACATGCTAAACAAGTCTTGTATGCAATTATGATGTTTTTCGGGGTATGTGCAGCACATTCAACGTCTGCAACTAGTTACACTAGTGATGCCTTTATTATTTGTATATACATTAGCTAAACCTGGTCTAGATTTCAAATTTTAGGGGAAAAAAAAAGGAAAGTGCTGATGTCAAATTCTTACCTATAAATATGACAAAGAATCTTTAATGTAAATTAAATGTTGAATCAGTTTTTATTTTACAGCTATAAGCATCAGAAATCAGAGATCGCAAAAGGAAGATATTTGAAATATATTTTGAAAATATTCTTCCCAAATATATTAACATATATTTGAAATGCTACACTTTTTGGCCATATTCAATATATTTCAATATATATATATATATATATATATATATATATATATACACACCGTATGTTGAAATGCATTTTTATTACAAAATATATGAAAAATATTTTTAAAAATAAATTTCAAATATACTGTATGTCTTTTAAAATATATAAATCTACATTTTTGGAATGCATTTACAAATATATGTAAAAATATATGTTATAAAATTGACTTTTTATATGTTAAAAAAATCTGAAGAATATATTGAAAAAATATATATTTTTAAAAAAGGCACTACCTGCCTGGAGTTTGCATGTTCTCCCTGTGCCTGAATGCGTTTTCTCCCACACTCCAAAGACATGCTGCTAGGTTAATTGGCTCCTGTCTACTTTGGCCCTAGGATGTGTATGCATATGATTTAGGGCCCTTATATTGTAAGCTGCTTGAGGCCAGGGGACTGATGTAAATGTGCAAAATATATGTAAATTGATGGCACTATATAAGTACCTGTATTTTTTTTTCTAAAATATAGAACCAGGAATCAAATTAAAGCAGACATGAATTGGTCAAGGCTGTAATCAAGGTGGAGCTGGAATCTACAGTTGTGGCCAAAATTATTCAACCCCCACTGAAATTGAGTGTTTTGGCCAGTTTGACATTGCTTTTGATCATTCATCAGTCATCTTGCTTACATTTACATTAAAGAGGCACTTGTAGGTCAGACAAATAATAACATAACAGTTATAATGAAATAACCACAAATGTCTTTTCTGTGCTCACAGCATTATCAGTTTTATTCAACCCCCAAGTGACATTCAATCTTAGTACTTAGTACAGCATCCTTTTACAGTTATAACAGCTTTTAAACGTGAAGCATAGCTTGACACAAGTGTCTTGCAGCGATCTACGGGTATCTTCGCCCATTCTTCATGGGCAAAGGCCTCCAGTTCAGTCACATTCTTAGGCTTGCGCACTGCAACTGCTTTCTTTAAGTCCCACCAGAGGTTCTCAATCGGATTTAAGTCTGGTGACTGCGATGGCCACTCCAAAATGTTCCAGCCTTTCCTCTGCAACCATGCTCTAGTGGACTTGGAGGTATGCTTGGGATCATTGTCCTGTTGAAAGGTCCAACGTCTCCCAAGCCTCAGGTGTGTGACGGACTGCATCACGTTTCCATCCAATATCTCCTGGTACTGAAGAGAATTCATGGTACCTTGCACACGCTGAAGCTTCCCTGTACCTGCAGAAGCAAAACAGCCCCAAAGCATGATTGACCCTCCACCATGCTTCACAGTAGGCAAGGTGTTCTTTTCATCATAGGCCTTGTTCTTCCTCCTCCAAAACATAGCGTTGATCCATGGGCCCAAACAGTTCTAATTTTGTTTCATCAGTCCACAGAACACTATCCCACAACTTTTGTGGTTTGTCCACATGGCTTTTGGCATACTGCAGTCGACTCTTCTTATTCTTTGGAGACAGCAAGGGGGTACGCCTGGGAGTTCTGGCACGGAGGCCTTCATTACGCAGTGTGCGTCTTATTGTCTGGGCTGAAACTTCTGTACCCACATCTGACAAATCTTTTCTCAGTTCCTCAGCAGTCACACGGGGACTTCTCTCCACTCTACGCTTCAGGTAGCGCACAGCAGTCGAAGTCAGCATCTTCTTTCTGCCACGACCAGGTAGCGTTTCAACAGTGCCCTTTGCCTTGAATTTGCGAATGATGCTTCCTAAGGTGTCTCTTGGTATGTTTAACATCTTTGCAATCTTCTTATAGCCATTGCCCTTCCTGTGAAGAGAAATCACCTCTTCTCTTGTCTTCCTGGACCATTCCTTGCCTTCACCATGTTTGTAACCACACCAGTAAATGTCTAGAAGGAGCTGAGTATCACAGTCATTTTAAAGCTGCCTAATTGGTGCTTATTATGCTTGATTGCTGCTCGGTGACATCCACAGGTGTTTTCAATACCTGATGGAAAGCACCTGTATGAACCTCTGTTCTTCAGAGTGGTAGTCTTTAAGGGGTTGAATAATTGTGGCAATGAAGAAACCACATAAGAACCATTTTACTACTGTATTACATAAACAATTGATGTCATTTTAGTTGCATTTGGGTAGTTACAACGTCCTTGTAGGATTTGATTCTGAATACAATTCCAAATGTACACTATAGTCCCTAAACCCCTTTACAGCATTGGGGGTTGAATAATTTTGGCCACAACTGTATGTGCTGGGTTGTGATGAGCTAAATGTACCTGGGTTTGGTTTCAGGTGAGTTTGGTACACTTTACTGAAGTTATAATGTTCGATATGTGTCCCATTAAAGTAATTGGTAGACAAAATCTTAGAAATCAGTAATAGCCACTTTTTAGGCAAAAGCCACAGGATAGTCAAACAAAAAGGCTGGACACTAAGCAAAACAAAAATATTGAATTAAAAAAAAATAATGGATAACAGTTCTTTGAAAAATGGAATATGGATATACAGTA